ACGTATTATTATAATAGCAATAAAAGTTATACCAATGTATATTATAGAATTAGTGTGTCAATTAATTGTTTATTGGTGTTAAATGCAAATATATTGTTATTAGAATTAGAAGGTTGTATAATTGGTAATTAGGCATTATTTTTCCTTTTAGTAAGAGCAGTAATTCCTCATGCTGATTCCTATTTATATTGTTTAGTATTACAAGTTTGCCAGATAGTAAGGTTGAACCAGTTAAGTAGAAAGTTAGATAAAGAGATAAAAAAGTTGTTAATTAGTTTTTTTAGAATTAGTTAAAGTTGTTTATATTAGTCAAGTATAATTGTGTCTTGAATAAGTAAAAGTATTAAATTATATATAGTAGAGTTTGAAGAGTGATTTTGTGAGTTAAGAATTTGAATTATAATATGTGATGTAGTTTCTGAGAAGTTTAAAGAGCTTAAGATATTGGTGGTTTCATTAATAAGAAGGTTTTGTGAATTGTAAATATGAAGTAAGCATTGGAGTAAATGTTCAGTACTTTCATATTGATTACAATAAAAGCAATTTGAAGTTAAATAAAATAGGGAGTAGTGAATATTTAAATTTGATATTATTGGCAAGTTATTAAAGAGAATTTTATTTCTAATTAAATAAAGTTTCAAATTAGAATTTTAGGAGTTAATGATTTTAATAAGTAGTAGAATATTTATAATAAGAAGATTTCATAGTGATTTAAGTTAAAGAAGTTTGTTAAATGTTAAATAAAAAAAAAATTTTTGCAGAGTTTACAAAGCTTGTATATAATTAGTATTTCTTTCCAAATAAAAAAAGTAGATAAATAAAAATAGTCAAGATTATATTTTAGTTCTGTTTTTTTTGCATCTTGTTTAGCTAAAGCATCAGCAATATTATATAGAGTGTTATTTGAATGTGATTAAATTTTGTGTATAGTATAATTGATATTTTTGAGTTTGTTTAAGTAGTTTAGAATGTGGATAATATTCCAGTTGTTTTGTTTGGTTTAAGAATTGTAGTTATAAGGTATTGAATTAATAAGAGTTTGTATAATAGATAAGCTGTTTAAATGAATGTAAATAGAATAGTTAAGAGGTAAAATAAAAAATAAATAAATAAGTGCTACTAATTCTATTCATGTTGAGTTTAGTACAAAGTTTATAGAAGCATTAAATTTAATTTGTGTATCATTTTCCAGAATTTAGGTTATGCCAGTAGAGATGTTGTATGTTTGTAAATTAAGTATAGAAGCATCTGTATAAAAATGTATATTAGTTAGTTTGAGAGATAGTAATTTTTTGGGAAAGTTTATGAGTTGGTTTGGTATATGGGATCAGATATTGAGTTTTGTATAAGGAGGATTTCTGAAGAAGGTAATAAAAGTGATGATAGAGATTTTGGAACTAGTTTATATAGATCTGCATAAATGTTATGAAGTGCTTTGATTTCTTGGTTATTAATGTTAAGTTCAAAGTTTTATTTTCTTTTTTGTGTTTTGTATTTAATATTAATAGTTTGTTTGTAATTTATTTGAAACATTGTTAATATAGGAGAAATATAAATTGTATTAATTGTTGAATTCGTAATTTGGTATTTTTGAAAAAGATTTTAAAAGTTAAATGTATTAGTTATTTTACCAATATGCCAATCTAATAATGAAATATAAAGTGACCATGTGTTTTTCAAGATAACAAATTGGGATGTAATAAGATTTAATATATTTAAAAATAGTTTAATAGGTTAGAGTTGAAGATTAGGCCATATGTGCAAAATAGGTTGATCTGATATTTGGTTTGAGAGTATTTTAAATTATTTTGGAGTAGAACCTTATGGAGGTTTGAGAGTTCTAAGATATATATTTTTCCAAGAAAGAAGGTTGTGATTATCAACTATAAGTAATTGTTCTAAGAAAAGAATTTTATTGTTTTTGAGACTTAAAGTTGTTGAGACTTAAAGTTGTTAAGTTGTTAGGAGTAATGATAAAATTATAAATGTTATTCATTTAATTAGTATGTTTGTAGATTATTAGTTGATTTAGGTAAGTTGTTAATAGAGATATTGTTTTTGTATAGATGATGGAGTTGAGATATTATAGTGTGGTCTCAGATTTTGGCGAGTTTGTTGCTAAACTATTTCAATTCTCATGTTACCTACAGTGGCTAAGTCAAAACAGGCATGTTAGATTTGGCGAGTGGATTATCATCCATAGGTAAGTACTAGTCTCTTCTCTGTTGAGTCTTTCTTTCAACCTACTCTTTTACTAATTCTTCTCTTCTTTATTTGTCTTAACCAGGATTTTACTATGTCAAATCAGGGTTGGAGCTCTTCTTTTTTATTTCAGTTTTTTAGGTACATGACTATGGCGAGCGCTCAATTACAGGTTTGGTTGTTTTTGGGGAGGTAGTGGATTTAATGATGGTTACTGGGCTTTTATAGAACAACACTTTCACTTTAATTATGGGTCAGGTAGGTAGTTTATATTTCGCAATTGGAATTGCTTCCCTTTGTCTGGGTGAATTGCGCTTTATTTATAATAAACTGTCTTGTCTATTTACATTATAGACTTGTCTAGTATATTGAATATATCTAATTTATCATATATATTGCATATATCACACTTATGCGATATAGGCGATATATCAGATATATCAAATATATTTGACATATCTGACATTTCTGACATTCGGAATTTACATATGTGATATCGATCATGTTTTAAAATCTTACATTTCTCCTCTACTTAATTTATGCATACTATGCATAAACTCTTACTTTTCTTGGTTGTAAAATTAGGAGCCCTTTCCTCTAGGATCAAAAGTCTTCGAGGCTGATCAAAGCAGAGATAAGTACTGAGTTATTCTCCTGTTTATTGGGTTAATGATTCTTTGTCCCACCTCTAATACTAATACTCCTTTTTCTATTTTAGGTTCATCATTCAATACAGAAATCATTCCTTTAGAGGTCAATTTTGACATCTTTGCAATGACTTTCCTTTTTGTATCGTTTCATCATTAGTTACGTGTTTTCAGGTGGATTTCTTCAAAGTTTTCTGATTTTCTTGTTCTTTTATTAATGATTTAAAATTTTCTACCCTTCTATTCCAATCATTACAAGCGTCTTCAAGCTTTTCGAAATCCAACAACTCAAGGCTTCGACTTTCTTCATCAAAAACGATCATCTTTCCGTCATCATCACTATTTCATCGTTATCATAGTCGTCATAGTTGTCAAAGGCTTAACGGCTATTCTTTTCAACTTCAATTCCATTTCCATAGTGATATCCAACTTTATATGCTTCATCAACGTGTCCAATTTCTGCTGATTTTTGATAATGAACATGTGCCTTAGATTTCTCTATTTTAGCAGGTTTTAGTTCTTTAGATATATTTGATTCAGGCATCCAAGTCTTTAGGATTTCTAAGTAACTGTTGATCAAGCTTTCCAACTCATCATTCTTGCTGTTTGTTAGTCCACTAGGTTCATCACCATTTTTTCTCTCATCAGAGCAATCCATATCAGCAGATTTTCGGTTGAGGTCTAATGTTAGCTCTTCCACATTTTTAAGTTCTATCTCAGCCAAGTTAGCTTTTCCTTTCTCAACAACACTACCAAGAGGTTCTTCCATGGATTCATCAGGGTCATAGTAGAAGTTGTAGTAGGTGTTGTAGTAGGTGTCGAGTATGGCAGGTGCTTGTTGTTAAGACTTTGAAAGGACTTTCAGTATGGGGATTACAAATAGTACTGGAGGTGGATTCTTTTTCTCTATAGACAGGTTTAGGTAGTTATATGAAGGTAGACATACAACAGGTTTTCTTGGGTCTTTATAGAATAGTCTTTACTGGATACAGAGTGGCAATGATTGCAAGGGATGAGATCAACTGATATGTATGAAGGTAGATAGATAATATCTTTTTCCTTCTTCTTGATGTCTCTAAGTGTGTCTACTAACACTTTCAGTATGAATTAAAGGATATGGGGAATTTGCTCATTATTAAGGTGGTGATTTTCAAAGGATTCATCAATGATTTCTTGGATTCATCGGCTTGTTCTTCAGTAAGTGCACTGAAAAGGTCAGCACATGTTTCCTGCAAGAGGGTTACATGTAAGCACTTACTAACAACATGGCCTCTTATTCCACAATAAGAGCATCATATGTCTTATTGGAAGTTTCTTCTAGTCAGTTGGGGGTTCCATGAGGCTCATGATATCTTCGTCATTCAGGTTTCTACTTGTTTTCGAGGTTGCTTAAACATTGGTAGTGAGTAACTGTCATACATTCTTCTTGTCCTTTTAGGTAAGCATTCTAAAGTTCTGTTGCTTTTCTCATTCTTATTCTAATACTAATTTTATTTTTCTATTTTCTTTTATCTAATATATTCTTCCTTCATGTTTCTCTATTTCAGGGGTTCTCTTAATTCTGGATCTCACAGTCACCACCAAAATGTGGTCTCAAATTTCGGTGAGTCTGGCACTAAACTATTCCAATTTTCATGTTACCTACAGTGGCTAAGTCAAAACAGGCGTGTTAGATTTGGCAAGTGGATTATCATCCATAGGTAAGTACTAGTCTCTTCTCTGTTGAGTCTTTTCTTCAACCTACTCTTTTACTAATTCTTCTCTTCTTTATTTGTCTCAACTGGGATTTCACTACGTCAAATCAGGGTGGAAGCTCTTCTTTTTCATTTTGGTTTTTTGGGTACGTGACTATGGTGAGTGCTCAATTATGGGTTTGGTTGTTCTTGGGGGAGTAGTGGATTTAACAATAGTTACTGGGCTTTTATGGGACAACACTTTCACTTTAATTATGGGTCAGGTAGGTAGTTTATGTTTTGTAATTGGAATCACTCCCCTTTGTCTGGATGAATTGCTTTTTATTTATAATAAACTGTCTTGTCTATTTATATTATAGACTTGTCTAGTATATCGAATATATCTAATTTATCATATATATCGCATATATCACACTTATACAATATAGGTGATATATTAGATATATTAGATATATTAAATATATCTGACATATCTGACATTTCTGACATTCGGAATTTACGACACGTGATATTGATCATGTTTTAGGATCTTACAATAGTATAGTTGGTAGATTTTCCATAGTTGGTTAGAATTGTATCCTAAGTTAGAAATGGTTTCTATATTTTAAAAAGCCAATCCTTAACCAGTATATAGAGATTTGGTTTAGGAGTATATTAGTATTGAAGCATTTTTCTATATTACTGCTACTAACTTGTAGCATAAGTTTGTTGAATGTTAGAATATTGAGTAATTGTGAATTGGTAAGTATATTATTGTTTGTATTAGTAGATAGGTGTAATATATATTTAGTGCATTTTGTTAGAAGACTTAATAGTTGTTAGAGTTTGTTTTGTAAAGGAGAACATATTTGGAGTAGATATTCAATTGATGGTGATAAAATAGTATTAAACAGTTGGAATATTTGTATAGAAAGAAGTTTTTTGTATTGGATAGTATGGATAAACTTAGAGGTTTTGCTAAAAAAATTTTCAAGTGTGGGTTTAATAAAGCCTTTATCATCTAAAAATATTTCTAGATATCTTATTATTTCATTAGGTTTGTGAAATAAAATTGGTTCATTTTTGAAATTTAAAGGTGTTATATTTGAAGTGCTATTGAATAGTATTTTTTTGTTGGGTAGGATGTGAATAAGGTCTGATTTGGATAGGTTAACTTGAATATTGTTTAGTTGGTATAGTTCAAATATGTCATCTAGAATCTCTTACAGATCATTTTTAGATTCACAATGCCAGACTGTATCACCTATGAAGGCAAAAGGTAGTATTGCTATATGAGTTGGTATAATTGAAAAAATTGTTTTTAAGGGGGATTGTAATGATATTTTGAGAAGTTTTGAACTGTATTTTGAGTTAATATAACTGAGAATAGGGTCATAATAGATTTTTCAAAGTAATGAAAAATAGGTTTCTTCTTGTTCTATGCCCAAATGAAGTGTGATTAGGTCAGTAGGACCATAGGCTGTAATTGCTTTGGCTTTCCTATCTTGGTATAGATGTTCGATAAAATTAAGTTCAGATTGGGAAATGCTAATACATTCGCAAGCAGCTAGTAAATGTTTAATATTGATTTTATCAAAAGCTTTAAACATGTCTTGGAAGCATATCCATGATTTTTTGATATTAGTTTTGTAATGTTCTATTTTGTTAATTAATATTTGTATAGGAATGTGTGTAGAACTGTTTTTGGTTGCTGCAAAATTAAGATCATTTAGTAGGTAATATTGATTAATAATTTGATTGAGACATGTGGTAAAAATTTTTGTAAGACATTTTTTAATAGGTTCAATGAGAGAAATTGGTTTAACTTGATCTAAACTAAAGTTCTATGTAGATTTTTTTAGTATTAAGAAAATGTTGGAAGTTTTCCATATTGTTGGTATTTGTTGTAATAAAAGGTATTTTGTTAGAAATAGTTGGATAATATTTTGAGCTTTAGAGTTTAGGTATTTTAAATATTCGTAGTTTGTTTCTGATGGACCTGCAACTTTTTGGTTTGGAAAGTCATATATGACTTTGTTCTATTCTTCTAAAATAATTTCAAAAAATAGGATATTAAAAAGAGGTTCATTTTCTGAATGAGATTTGTAGAGTTTATAGAATTTTGAGTTTTATTCTATTGGTATATATGGTAGCTTTTTAAAGTAGTCTTGAAAGTAAGATTATAAAGCTTGCTTTATTTTAGATAGTTGAGTAGTGAGTGTATTGTTAAGTAATAGACAGTCTAAGTTGATACTATTATTTGATTTTTTTAAAACATTTCGACAAAAATTTTTAGGTTTTGATAAAAGTTAATATTTTTTTCTTTTAGTTTATTTTGAACTTTTTTTAGAATATTTTTTTGTTTTTTTTATGGATTTGTATTTTAAGAGTTTTTATTTCTGTAATAAGTAGACTTGATATTGTAGTAAAGTCTGGGTCATTAGTGGTTTGTATTAAGTATGAGGCTGGTAGTAAGGTGTTTTGTAAATATTTTTTGATGTATAGGTTGTATGTTTGTGAGAAGTTAGGTTTATTAAAAGATAATTTAAATGGGATTGCCTGTTTTAGTTGTTTGTATAATAGTAAAAAAGAAGGTAGTTGTTGTTTATTATAGTATAGTTTAATTTTAATTCTTTTAAATAGAATGTGTTTTTGGGCTGCTTTAATTAGAGCCTTGTTGATTTTATTCCAAGTATTGTTAAGTTCTGAACTATGAGTAATATTGGTAATGACTATAAGGAGTTGTTGAAGGTTTTGTTTAGTATAACTTTGGTAGTTTTTGATTTGTTCATCTTATATAAGTTTCTATTGATAAATGGTTCTTGATTGGAGTTGTTATATATTAATTTTAGATATATTGATTGTAAGTTTGAGTAATACTATTAAGTGATTAGTTGTAGTAAATGTATTCAGTAAAATGTTAGCATAGTCTAAAAGTGTAATATGAATGTTAGTCTATATTTGGTCAATTCTACTATGACTGTTATTATGTATATAGAAGAATATGGAAGTTGATGGAAAGAAAAGCCTGTAGATGTCATAAAATTGGAAAGATTTAAGTATCCTTAAAAGAAAATGTTCAGATGTAGTTGAGCTTTTCTGTAGTAGTCTATCTAGTTTAGGATTTAGGACTCCATTTAGGTCTTCCATTAAAATTATTTAGTAGTTGGTTTTATTAAGAATAGGAGTAAGGTATTGAAAAATGTCTTTTCAAAGTTGTTTTTTTTTTTGAGTTGGAAAGTAAAGTTTGATTAGTTTAATATAAAGGTTTTTGAGAAATATGTCAATTTCTAGAAATAAGTTTTTTTATGTCTGTATTTTTTCAATATTCTTCACAAGTGATTTGTAGATTAATATTTCTACACCACTTTAATGAGCATTACTTGGTGTCCAAAAGCATTTGTAATTTAAAAGTTTTTGCAAGAGTATTAAGAACTTTGCTTCTTT